AAATTACTCTAACCTATTTTACCATCTCACCCAACAATCCACTTTACTATTTCTTCATTTTCTTCAATTTCTTTCTCTTTAAATTTCTTATCCCTAATAAAGTTCTATTTCATTTCTTCATTTCTGTATGTTGATGTCAATTTATGGATGAGTGTGTGTTTATGCATGTGTGCATGGGTGCATTTCAAACAAAAGTTTACTGTGATATTTATGAATCATAAGGTGTCATAATGGTTATGAAAGTATGAATCTTGATTTGATGATGATAATGAATTGTTGAATGTGGATGATGATGATGCATTATTTAGTATGTACAATAATCATGATAGTAATATTGATTGTGATATATATGTTGAAATGGATGATGAGGAAGATTATCATGTTTTTGAGGATGATGATGATGATGATGATGATGATGATGATGATGATGATGATGATGCATTATTTAGTGTGTAACATAATAATATTGGTTGTGATATATGAGGATTATCATGTATGGTGATAATAATAATAATAATAGTAGTAATGATCACATGCATTGTTGAATGTTGATGATGATGTTGATGATTCTTTTGAATGGAGTGTACTTGTTTGACACGCAATGACTATATGTGCACCTGTGGTTGGATGTGTGAGAGGGTGTGAGTGTATTTGTCCTGTACAACGTGTAAAATCTTGAAAAATAAAAAATTATAAAAAAAAAATAAGATAATTGGGCAGTGTACTTCTATCTAGGCCTTAATTATGTGGCCAGGTGTTCAGTCTTACCAATTTGACAAATATAGCAAGATTACTTATGACATACATCACGAGATCTCTCAAATCGGGAGATTACCCCAATTTTGATCCATATGATCGGGAGGCAGGATCCACGGGGAGTGAGAATCGGGAAACTCCCGAATGAATCGGGAAAGTTGGCAGGTATGAAGTGGTTAGATATTCATTTCACAACTGATAAAAAGCGTAAATTTTAAATATTTCTTTAAAAAACTGTTGTTTCTGCTCATTATAATATTTAAAGTTTGCACAACCATTTTCTTAACAACGTCAAAAACTCACAATATGAGAGACCCGACATTAATTCATATCATTATCGTTCGGAGAGTGTAAACAATATTTTTTGCGCATGCAATTTGAGATTAAGATTGATTCAAATTCGTTTATTTCGCTCTGTCACGCAGAAAGCGTGAAACAATGGGTCATTTTACAAAGAAAAAAATTGAAACTTGTCTTGCAAATTAAGTTTTGACTAATTATAAATTATACTTAGTAAAAACTCATAACAAAACGGCGGTTGAAAACAAGTCTCCGAAAGGTCACATGATGAACTCGGCTATCTCCAATCTAAACACCGATGGTAGACATAACAGCTAGTTTCGAGTAGCGTTAGTTTGAAGCTGATATTTTATCAATTTTTCTTGTAGAGTGTTATAATTTTGCAAAGAGTCTTATTTTAAGTCTTACCATGCTTGCCCGAAAGGAAACGTATAGGAAAAAATATCGAAATCTAACCATTTAGTCACATTAAGTGCAAGTCAAAAACTACTACAAATTCACAATTGCATTTTGAGCTCTTGTGACTATGAGCTGGTCGAACTAAATATTTAACAAAAACTGAACATATTTTATATATTGAGTTAAGCATGAATTAAGCAAAATTGGTTTCCATGGTGTTTGATTGGCTCAGTATGTCCCTAATGATGAGCATATTTATCTTCATACGCTTAATATGCACAAAATTGTTTTATCCGGCGAGAAATAATTTAGGAATCTCCTTTAAATTTCAGTGGTAAATATAAATTGTAGATCGTAACGATATACAATTCTACCTCACTTAGTCACTTACTTATCTGTGAAAAATATCCTCGGTAAGCATATGATACCAGCCCATACATTAGATATAGAATCAGGCAGAAATTATAATATACAGAGCACAACGAGGATGTCAGTATAGCAATAGAAATGAGGTCAAGGACGAAATTTATTTTATTTTGTTATGCCATGCATGCTCCGAGCTCCGAATCAGATAACTTAAATTCTTATCATTTCTATCATCCGTTTTCAAATAAACACAATTGTTCGCCAGTAAAGTTGTAAAGAAAACGATTGAGAAACCGCATAATCCAGGCTACTTCAGCAGACACTACTTGGTATCTGATCAGCCGTGTATATTCCAGCTTTGTGTCACTGACAATGCTTATTCCTATTGTCATTGTATTCTTTGGTATGTCCTCCGCTATCTTACATAATACTGAAGTACTGTGTATTCTAAAGCCTAAATGTATGTAATGCATTTTTAAATAAAGAATTTAATTAACAGCAGAACAATGCCAAGTTATAGATTGGCCTGCCAAATCCCCCGATCTGAGCCCAATAGGGCACATCTGGACTGGGATGTTCTGTTCATACGGCGTCGGCAAAATCCGCCCTCAAACTTACGTGAATTGGCACGAGTAGTGACCGCAATATCGGTTCACTCATTTTGACGATATACAGGCGCTATATATATGTGCCGATGTTGTTATGCTATGGTCCAGTGGTCTTGTACATCACACCAAATCATCGAACCATAACAGCTTTTGGTTGGCATTTAACCGTCCATAAGCAGACATTCACCAAACCAGAGACGTATATATCACGTCTCTGATGAAACCTCGTTGAAACCTGACATAGCACCAGCTGATACAAATCTTGATCACTTTTTATTATATTTGTGAAGTATCGTAAGGCTTCTTATCGACTTGTCAATCTCTATGTCGCGACAGAATGAAAATTTCTCAGTTGTTCAAGGCAATGGAAAGATGACTTGGATGCTATGTATGCTGAACCTGTGTAGCTTTAGCACCAACCTAGACAACTGGTATACGGAAGAAACATTCCTTGTGTCCGCTTTTGGTTACTTACTAACCAATTCAGTAACGTGCGAAAATAACACTGATTAAGTCTCAGATTAGGTCAAATCTCCAGTTGGAAACTAATCTGGACCCTACATGTCCACAATCATAACAGGAACTCGCAGACACATGTATCTTCTGGTCAGAAAAATAGTGTAAGTAAACTTTGATTGTATATCTCGGAAGAGGTCAAGAATTACTTTGTGCCCTTTACCGTTTACTCGGAAAGATAAAACTTCGGACAGGGCAGTGGACAGCATGGACAAACCAAAGTGAAGTCACTATGATAGCAAAACTATGTATTTGAGGTGTAGATGAAAATTTATACTAATTCTATCTTAAAACAATTTTATTGACATGCGAATACGTTCAGTATATGACAAAGGGACTGGACATGGCAGAGCCCATATTAGTCTTGTCCCACACATAACATCACAGTGGTATCAACGTGCTGTGTAGTCATTTGATAATATTTATACTGCAATATAGCACAAGGGAAGCAACTCTTATCTACCTAAATTTGATTTTGTTGAATTGTAGCATTTTTGGGTTAAAAGTTTTATTTTTACTCAAATGCATGAAAAATACTTATGTATAATACTAATAACTAGGCGATATGTTTGAAAACATTTTGTTAAGATTAAATTTCTCATAAGAAACAGGCTAGGTTATCCTCGACACTCTAGCGGTTATGATCACTTTCGCTCTTTGCACCCATGGAACGTGTCATGGTGAAGTTGAAGGCACACGCGAAGTAATTTGATTGGTCACAGAAGAAAAACACACTGACCAATCACAGGCTGATACGCTCCTTTAGACGGTTACAAAGGAGTGACACCCAACTTCAAAGCCATTACAATATACCGTTATGTGACCTCGAGATTCGTTTGATGTACATCAAAGCATCAAACTAATCTTGTCCATAAGGTGTTGCACATGGAACATTCAATTTTGCCATGACAAGTTGCAGGGATGCAGAGAGAGAAAGTGATCGTAATCCCTGGAGTATCGAGGATGAAGACAGGTGAGATAAATAAAATGAGAAAGACCCGGTAGCAAACAGATGTTACAGTCAGGCCTACTGTTCTTTACATCCAATCATTTAAAAAATAAACAGGATTTGTTTATGAAATACTATGCCCCTGCTAGCAACAAAGTTCTGAAGTGGGACATTAAAACTGTAATGTGTGAGGCATGTGCTAATTGCATGCTCACTTTGTACTTATGTATTGTGATAATGTTTTTATCATTTTATTACAAGTAAACATCACCTAAAACGTGAGTCTGCAAGCCCTACCTCTTATGGTGTAATAGTTAGGGATATTTAATATTTCAAATGTAGGTTAAAGGTCACGGTCAAGGCTACATGGTACCACTTGAAAGGTCGTGTCACAATAAACACGCATGCCATATATGGAAGTCCTACCTCTTATGGTGCAATAGTTATGGACAAGGTTAAAGTTGACGACAGACAAACAGACAGCACAAAACAATATGTGCCCTGATCATTCGATCTGGGAGCATTAAACAATATATACGTGTTCTTAAAGTCCTCAAAGACCTAATGAATTAGATATATGCAGGATGCAAATAAGAAACATTTTGATTATATCAGAAATAGAGAAAAAAGAACTTAAAAGAAATCGTATGTGTGTATTGCCAGAACACATCGAACCCTTCGAGGTGACCAACGTTACCGTATTAGGGAACTAATATGTTGCCTTGACCTGGAACTTTATTTAGATGTCACTTGTTTCCATGAGATTTTTGCCGATGAAAAATTCAGTATGAACATAGAACCAACTTTATGCCTGCGTTCCTTAACTAAATCCACATCTGATAACAAATAACGCGGATTGTGTTTGGTTTTGCAATCAGAAAACGAAAAGGTTGATAAATTTACCTTTATTTTATATGAAACCTAATATAAACAAAAAAGAAAAAAGAAAGAAGCCCGGATGTAACATCATCGCCCAATGTTTATACACAACGCTTGAATCTTGGCAACTTTCCAACGCCTTAGTTAACAAGCATTATATAACAAATCACCGAAGGCGTGGCTGGTGTTGTTATTTCTGTAGAACACTACAGCTATATCCAAAACGAAAGTAGATTGTCCTTAAAATTTCCAATAATGACGTGGATCTATAAATAAGTATAGCAAGATATACTGGAAGACCTATTGCCAGTCACGGACCTGTCAGAACTTATCATTATTTGTTTCAATATTCCAGACACGATTTATCTCCGTACGTCGCCAGACACAAAACGTGAGTATGATAAAGGTTTATCCACCTCGCAATTTGGACGTAGAAATTCAAGATCACCATTCTCGTGAGTTTACTTCTATATCGTAACTGCTGTTTACCACTATGTGTCCTAGTGAAATTTATAGGACGAACAAATAATTAACTTTTCTCCGCCAAATCTTTCTTCAGTGTTCCTCGGGGAACTTCACTTTAGCAAAAGTAAGACTTCGGGATATTATGCTGGGACATGTAGCGTCGCTTTACCCAGACCATAGTTGATTGGTAGGTTGACAGATTTTCCGTCTCCGCGACTCCTCCCGTGTCCGGGTATCGTCTCGCCGACGAACGCCAGTGTTCTGGTGACGTTGAAGCCACGGTAAGACTTGGGGATATTTGATGTTGCCAGGGATCTCAATTTTAACCTGACCATTATAGAAATCAGAGGTATCTATAGTTAGTCAGGGGTCTTAACTTGGATATACTTATGGTGGGCCGGGGGTTCTAAATTAACCTTGGCCATGGTAAGACATGGAGATACTTATGGTGGATCTGGGATCTTAACTCTACCTTGGCCGTGATAAATGAAATTTTCAACAATTTCTCTTTCATTATATTGTGAGACCGTTACTTAACTATTCACTAGCGTGTCCTTTGTAATACAACTGAATACAACCCGGATGTCGTCGGTGAACAGAAGGCGTTAACCATCGGATCTATCGCTCCACGTTATAACTATTTTAATAACAATTTTGTACCCATGGTAAAATTTCCTGTTTCTGTTGTAAATTTCAGTAAAACCTTAACCGTACATAATTTTTTAAAGGATAGAACATCATTTTTGTATCAGGCTCCATGCTGATTGTTTATTTTTATAAAACAAATTTTCAAAATTAATATAACAATTCTTTGTTTTCAATAATTGGGATTAAGCTGTCAATTCCTGACCTTGTCGCACTGAATACACGGAATTGTCTCTGACACTCGTCTCACTTGATGATGTATTTTTCTCAACAGATGATTCGATTGTGTTTTGAACTCTGCCTCTTTACATCTGTTTTGGCTGTTCATTACAATCAATCCTTAACTGAAGACCAACCACAACAAGAAGTAAGTTTACCTTTTGGTACTCTATAATGTAATCTAGTTGTCAAAACCACTCATGTGAGATGTGTTTTTAAAGCATGTGTACGTGTAGGGCATCACACATGTGAGATGTGTAGTTAAGTGTTGTATACATGTAGGGTATCACACATGTGGGATGTGTAGTTAAGTGTTGTGTAGGGTATTACACATGTGAGATGTGTTTTTCAAGCATGTATACGTTTAGGGTATCACACATGTGAAATAGGTAGTTAAGTCATGTGTTGGGTATCACACATGTGAGACGTGTAGTGAAGTCATGTGTACGTGTAGGGTATCACACATGTGAGATGTGTTTTTAAAGCATGTGTAGGGTATCACACATGTGAGACGTGTAGTGAAGTCATGTGTACGTGTAGGGTATCACATGTGTGAGATGTGTAGTTAAGTCATGTGTACGTGTAGGGTATCACACATGTGAGATGGGTTTTTAAAGCATGTGTAGGGTATCACACATGTGAGATGTGTTTTTAAAGCATGTGTAGGGTATCACACATGTGAGATGTGTTTTTAAAGCATGTGTAGGGTATCACACGTGAGATGTGTAGTTAAGTCATGTGTACGTGTAGGGTATCACACGTGTAAGATGTGTTTTTAAAGCATGTGTACATGTAGGATATCACACATGTGATATGTGTAGTTAAGTGTTGTGTACGTGTAGGGTATCACACATGCGAGATGTGTAGTTAAAACATGTGTACGTGTAGGTTATCACACATGTGATATGTATAGTTAAATCATGTGTATGTGTAGGGTATCACACGTGTGAGATGTGGTTTTAAAGCAAGTGTACGTGTAGGGTATCACACATGTGATATGTGTAGTTAAGTCATGTGTACGTGTAGGGTATTACACGTGTGAAATGTATTTTTAAAGCATGTGTACGTATAGGGTATCACACGTGTTAGATGTGTAGTTAAATGTTGTGTACGTGTAGGGTATTAAACATGTGGGATGTATAGTTAAAGCATGTGTATGTGTAGGGTATCACACATGTGAGATGTGTTTTTAAAGCATGTGTAGGGTATCACACATGTGAGATGTGTTTTTAAAGCATGTGTAGGGTATCACACGTGAGATGTGTAGTTAAGTCATGTGTACGTGTAGGGTATCACACGTGTGAGATGTGTTTTAAAGCATGTGTACGTATAGGGTATCACACGTGTGAGATGTGTTTTTAAAGCATGTGTACGTGTAGGATATCACACATGTGATATGTGTAGTTAAGTGTTGTGTACGTGTAGGGTATCACACATGCGAGATGTGTAGTTAAAACATGTGTACGTGTAGGTTATCACACATGTGATATGTATAGTTAAATCATGTGTATGTGTAGGGTATCACACGTGTGAGATGTGGTTTTAGAGCAAGTGTACGTGTAGGGTATCACACATGTGATATGTGTAGTTAAGTGTTGTGTACGTGTAGGGTATCACACATGTGATATGTGTAGTTAAGTCATGTGTACGTATAGGGTATTACACGTGTGAAATGTATTTTTAAAGCATGTGTACGTATAGGGTATCACACGTGTTAGATGTGTAGTTAAATGTTGTGTACGTGTAGGGTATTAAACATGTGGGATGTATAGTTAAAGCATGTGTATGTGTAGGGTATCACACAAGTGAGATGTGTTTTTAAAGCATGTGTAGGGTATCACACATGTGAGATGTGTTTTTAAAGCATGTGTAGGGTATCACACGTGAGATGTGTAGTTAAGTCATGTGTACGTGTAGGGTATCACATGTGTGAGATGTGTTTTTAAAGCATGTGTACGTATAGGGTATCACACGTGTGAGATGTGTTTTTAAAGCATGTGTACGTGTAGGGTATCACACATGTGATATGTGTAGTTAAGTGTTGTGTACGTGTAGGGTATCACACATGTGATATGTGTAGTTAAGTGTTGTGTACGTGTAGGGTATCACACATGCGAGATGTGTAGTTAAAACATGTGTACGTGTAGGTTATCACACATGTGAGATGTATAGTTAAAGCATGTGTATGTGTATGGTATCACACATGTGGGATGTGTAGTTATAACATGTGTACGTGTAGGTTATCACACGTGTGAGATGTGTAGTTAAGTGTTGTGTATGTGTAGGGTATCACAGGTGTGAGATAGGTAGTTAAGTCATGTGTCGGGTATCACACGTGTGAGGTGTGTTTTTAAAGCATGTGTACGTATAGGGTATTACACGTGTGAGATGTGTTTTTAAAGCATGTGTACGTGTAGGGTATCACACATGTGATATATGTAGTTAAGTGTTGTGTACGTGTAGGGTATCACACATGTGATATGTGTAGTTAAGTGTTGTGTACGTGTAAGGTATTGCACGTGTGAGATAGATAGTTATAACATGTGTACGTGTAGGGCATCGCACGTGTGAGATGTGTAGTTAAGTGTTGTGTACGTGTAGGGTATCACACATGTGAGATAGGTAGTTAAGTCATGTGTACGTGTAGGTTATCACACATGTGAGATGTGTTTTTAAAGCATGTGTACGTGTAGTGTATCACACGTGTGAGATAAGTAGTTAAAAGATGTGTACGTGTAGAGTATCACACATGTGCGATGTGTAGTTAAGTAATGTGAGCGTGTAGGGTGTGAGATGTGTTTTTAAAGCATGTGTGCGTGTAGGGTATCACACGTGTGAGATAGGTAGTTAAAACACACGTGTGAGATAGGTAGTTAAAACATGTTTACGTGTAGGGTATCACACGTGTGAGATAGGTAGTTAAAGCATGTTTACGGATAGGGTATCACACGGGTGACACATGTTGTACGTGTAGGGTATCACACGTGGTAGTTAAAACATGTTTACGTGTAGTGTGTATGTGTACGTGTAGGGTATCACACGGGTGAGATAGGTAGTTAAAGCATGTTTACGGATAGGGTATCACACATGTGAGATGTGTTTTTAAAGCATGTGTAGGGTATCACACGTGAGATGTGTAGTTAAGTCATGTTAAAGCATGTTGTGTACGTAGGGTATACATGTGATATGTGTAGCATGTGTAGGGTATCACACATGTGATGTGTTTTTAAAGCATGTGTAGGGTAGATGTGTAGTTAAGTCATGTGTAAGTGTAGGGTATCACATGTGTGAGATGTGTTTTTAAAGCATGTGTACGTATAGGGTATCACACGTGTGAGATGTGTTTTTAAAGCATGTGTACGTGTAGGGTATCACACATGTGATATGTGTAGTTAAGTGTTGTGTACGTGTAGGGTATCACACATGCGAGATGTGTAGTTAAAACATGTGTACGTGTAGGTTATCACACATGTGAGATGTATAGTTAAAGCATGTGTATGTGTATGGTATCACACATGTGGGATGTGTAGTTATAACATGTGTACGTGTAGGTTATCACACGTGTGAGATGTGTAGTTAAGTGTTGTGTATGTGTAGGGTATCACAGGTGTGAGATAGGTAGTTAAGTCATGTGTCGGGTATCACACGTGTGAGGTGTGTTTTTAAAGCATGTGTACGTATAGGGTATTACACGTGTGAGATGTGTTTTTAAAGCATGTGTACGTGTAGGGTATCACACATGTGATATATGTAGTTAAGTGTTGTGTACGTGTAGGGTATCACACATGTGATATGTGTAGTTAAGTGTTGTGTACGTGTAAGGTATTGCACGTGTGAGATAGATAGTTATAACATGTGTACGTGTAGGGCATCGCACGTGTGAGATGTGTAGTTAAGTGTTGTGTACGTGTAGGGTATCACACATGTGAGATAGGTAGTTAAGTCATGTGTACGTGTAGGTTATCACACGTGTGAGATGTGTTTTTAAAGCATGTGTACGTGTAGTGTATCACACGTGTGAGATAAGTAGTTAAAAGATGTGTACGTGTAGAGTATCACACATGTGCGATGTGTAGTTAAGTAATGTGAGCGTGTAGGGTGTGAGATGTGTTTTTAAAGCATGTGTGCGTGTAGGATATCACACGTGTGAGATAGGTAGTTAAAACATGTTTACGTGTAGGGTATCACACGTGTGAGATAGGTAGTTAAAGCATGTTTACGGATAGGGTATCACACGGGTGAGATAGGTAGTTAAAACATGTTTACGTGTAGGGTATCACACGTGTGAGATAGGTAGTTAAAGCATGTTTACGGATAGGGTATCACACGTGTGAGATAGGTAGTTAAAACATGTGTACGTGTAGGGTATCACACGGGTGAGATAGGTAGTTAAAGCATGTTTACGGATAGGGTATCACACGTGTGAGATAGGTAGTTAAAGCATGTTTACGGATAGGGTATCACACGGGTGAGATAGGTAGTACGGATAGGGTATCACACGGGTGAGATAGGTAGTTAAAACATGTGTACGTGTAGGGTATCACACGTGTGAGATAAGTAGTTAAAAGATATGTACGATAAGGGTATCACACGTGTGAGATAAGTAGTTAAAAGATATGTACGATAAGAGTATATAAACAACAAAATTTGTTATGCTTACCATGATCAACTGTAACAAAATTCTTAGTAATCTTGAAATGAAAGGTAGGAATATTTAATTGTTTTTGATCGTAACATTGATAACAGAGTACACCAGTTTTTCACTCAGTATGGATAACAGAAATTAATATGTTCAGTCTGCCAAATCTTCATAATTATGTAGTAAAATGTCAGTGTCTGATGATCAAACGAGATAATATTTTTGTTCCTATCATAAACTGAAGTTTACAAATACTGAATGATAATTTCTATTCATATTTTGTAGGAGAGAGAAGGTCCACTCAAGAATTATATTGGATTTGCTATATTATTCGGTGTTGTCGTCCTCTTTTTAGGACTACTTTTTGTCGTTTGTAAGTTCGGGTATCTTGTGGACAAAATAAAGGAAGTTCTTGGTAGGAGGAGGGCGAGAAAATACAGTGAGTACCATCTCCGGACAAGTCATCTGGACGAATAACGAATTGTGAGTAACATCTCCGGACAAGTTATCTGGTCAGTAACGATTCTTAAGGATAGCAAGCAGACCGGACAAGTTTCATGACGATGTTTGACTAGATTTCTATGGTAGCTCTTTTTATGTTTGTTGTTTTTTGTTGGTTTCTGTAAAGACATTTTGCAAGATGATGATCTGATTATTGTGTCCAATCTAAAGGTGAAGTTCATCATCAATTCATGAAATGTACAAATAAAATATAATTTGATTACACAAGAATATTTCCTTAAATATGAGGACCGAAGTTACAAGTTCTAATGGTACAACACAATGATGTAGAGAAGGACAATAGTAGAGTCACACTATACATGACGTGAATTTAGGTCACACTGTATAACTAAGGATGTAGGATGAAGTCTTTTTATACTTGAATATATTTCATAAAGTTCAGAAATACAACATATGGAAAATTATAAAAATAATAAAATAAAACATTCTATAACATTGTTCTCACTGAAAGTAAGCATTATCCAAAATCACAATTAATTATAATGAATACCCCTATAAGATCAAGCTTTTGTTTACATGTTCTATCTATAGATCTAACTTCCATGCACACTTCTATTACATAACTTCCTGTTTGTATGAACATTATGTTTAAGTCTGTTTTAGAAATAAATCATTATGTCAATGCTTATCAAAGCAACATGCTTTTAAATATCGAAATGTGAAGATAAGAACATTCAGGTCAAATTTAACTTATGCAATCCATACTAAAGAGTAATAGTCAATAGTTATGTGATTCTATTGTATCGACAACTCATACCAGGAAACATGATATCCAGAGAGCTTTTAGTCAAACGGAAGTGATCTTGACTGAATTAGCGAGAGTACTAAAACTGTAAATTCCGAGTAATCATCCTATGAGCATGAACCAAATAAAAAAAATTAACAATATTTTATACGAAAACTCTACATACAACTTTGAGAGTTTAAACAAAAATACTAAAAACACAAAAATCGGTTCTGGAAAAGGTTATACATTCTAACCAACCGATAGTAATAATGAGGGGAAATATGGTGTAACATCATAAAGAACAATTCAAAAATTCAACATGAAATAACACTGGAAACTATTGATTTAATGTGTTAATCTTCATTTACTTTTCCATTTTATGGTTATTTATTTTCTTTAATTTATTATTTCTTTTACTTAAATCGCATGGTAAGGAGGCTGATTTAGATGCTGTTTCGGGTCGTTTTTATAAATAAGTTATGAAATGAACTTGAAAATTACTGAAGTTTTCTATCCTGCATATTACACGCTGAAATCAATTACATACAACGCGGTCATATGGAGGGTTCAACATAATACGTTATTTTTTTATGTCTATCGAATTCATCAGTTATTTATTTACTTTTGTTTATTTTTCCTTTATGTTACTAACTTATGTAATCAACCATTTCATGACATATAACAATAATACATATTATTCTTATATTGTAAAAACGTCTCTAACAAATTATTTCGTCTTAGATTTGACTTAATGATCACATTTCCTATGCGAATGAAAACAGGAAACATACACTTTACTACACAGCGAAATGAACGTCTAAAAAGTTCTACAAATGACCATCAGATAAGATATCACGTTAGAAAGTAAATTTTCAAATTCCTCTGCAAATCACGAGTCATTGTGTCATTTACAACAAGGAACAATAAAACTTTGTTTCAGAGTTTTGGCTGTCAGAATAAAGAGGAAAATGTACATATAGATATACCTATTTATTTATTTTTTATTTTTGTCAAAAATGACAGTTACAACTATTTTGTCATTGAAGGAATAAAAATATTAATAATAGCAAATAATTCCTCGCTTGAAACTAGGCTCCTATCTCATTTCTGACGTAAGTGTTGAGCATCTGCCCAAGTTTCGGTCGCTTAACATAACATATTCTGCTCTCTGTCATCACTAAGGATCATATGGGATGCACGAGGACTGTTTAGCCGGAAGGTATGTCCTTTAACCGTATTAATGTAAAGACATTTCAGAGTGACTATACTATTAGTTTTCGCGATGTACCAATAAATCGCCATTTATTAGTTATAATTATTTCTTAATACTCATTTTAACAGTCTTTCGCTTTTTTTTTCATGAAATCATTTGTTGTTGACATTTTTATGAATTAACTAATAGTGTTGAGCTTGAGTTAGTTGTAATGCAGAAATCAAAGCTGTATTCTATTGTGAAAAATTGTGAAAATTGTGAAAATATAACATTTTATAAACAAAACATGATTGGTTGTAATTTCAGAATTGATAGCTCATTTGTTTACCGAGGTTGTTTACGGTATAGAAAATCAACATAAACAACGGCTTATGTCGTACAGATAACCTCTATCCAGCACATCACATCACACGAAATGTATATTTTATAGTAGAAAAGAAAAAAAAAGTTTTATAAATAAACGTTTTGCAAAGAAAGCTGTTCGGTAAATGGCACGGATGCGAAAGGTGTTTACATTAATGAAAGAATTGTAATTTTACCTATAGCATTGAGTTAGTGGCTTAATAAATCTGAGTGCGTTAACATTAGATTGATGATATGTAACAAAACAGATCTATACAACACAATATATTACATAATCAATTCATATTATCATTAATTCAAGAGCAAATATTATTTTATTAGAAATAAAATATATCTCAGATATTATATTTTTGTAGTCATACAAAAAGAAACTGCAGTTGCATGCCAATACTTATTACAAATTAAAGATATCCGCACCATTTTGTGCCATATCGTATAAAGTATTTTTTTTCACAGAATTTGTGAAACAAGTTCTTTCAAAACATATCACTCTATCTAGAAATAACAGGATATTTCAGAAGTTTTGGAAACGGTAGGTACTGAGAGTATATGATATTGTTTCTCACGTCACTCTTTAACGATGTGACATTTCTGGCACTGTTTAATTTGTTTAAGACCAGAATACAAGTCTTTCAAACCATAAAGCTCGCCTAGGTTTCTACTTCCTTGAAGGGGCAGATTTCAGAATTTATAAATATCAGTTAAGACACACAATCTACTATTTACGTCACGGGAATTGCATAACTACGGAAACAGTACAGAAAAAAAAACAACGTACATCTTCCTTCACCAGCTTCATTGACACAGCAAACATAGTACGGAATCATTCGAATGCGAATCGTGGATCAAGGTCAACGATAAGGTGTGATGTATAGGGCACAACAAAATTGATAATACGATAAACTTTATAGTAAGTGTTCCAACATTTTCTTTCCGACAACCTTGCACGCGTGAACGGGTGAGTTAGTTACAAGAAAATAAAAAATCTACAATCATTTAAAGTAATTGGAATGAAATAAATTGAAGATGTGTTGTCGATAGGGTTAGTGAGTGAAAGTTCTACCATAGTGTCTATTTGAACCTGTTCAGCAGCATATCTAATCATTTTCATCATTCTTCTGAACTGAAGTGATTTTCACGTCGTTGGTTTGACTTCTCTTTGGCTGACTACCTTGTTTATTTTCTAATTGACGTGGATTTTAATTATTTATTTGGTACGTCCGTCAGTCATTTGTTTAGAGTCTGTAAACTACAGCTTGTCAACAGTCGCTTGTTTGCATTCAGTAATCGTTGATGAATTTGATATTCATAATTCGAATCGAAATGGAAATTTCACGAAGTATTAAGTATTTGTTAATTGGATAGTGTTTACAATAGTGGGATAATACTATTTTACCATTTACGTCATTCATTTTCATGACAATTTACCACACCCTTTAGATCTGATAAATTCTCGTTAGAAAAAGACACGAGTGTGTTTGCTCTGATGTATACTACGAATATGAGAGAGAGAGAGAGAGAGAGAGAGAGAGAGAGAGAGAGAGAGAGAGAGAGGGAGAGGGAGGGAGGGAGGGAGAGAGAGAGAGAGAGAGAGAGAGAGAGAGAGAGAGAGAGAGAGAGAGAGAGAGAGAGAGAGAGAGAGAGAGAGAGAGAGAGAGAGAGAGAGTATTGTCCTACTTAACTTGCAACTTGCACTCAGACTTGGGGGATGGGTTCACCCTGGCCAACCAGTGTGAATTATCACTACGCATCACAGATTTCAAACTCATGAATTCCGATTTCGTGGACATCTTTCCGCAATCTAAAAATCACGAGAGCAAAATATTTCTGCTTGTATGTTAATTTTGGAAAAAATTGGCTTTTTATGAGAAATTACAATAACAGAAGTCCGGAGACCAGTACTGATATAATCATGAAAAGTATCCTCGAAAAATTCTTTTTCCAAACATAAAATCTTTTTAAAAGTATACCAGAAGTTGGTCAAATACAGGATTAAAATTATTTCGGAGAACTTTCATTATTTTCGTTGTTTTTTCAGTTTAAAGTTCGGTAAATCCAATTAAAATTTTCTCATTCTTTTTATCAGAATATCTATCTAAATATCATACCCTTACTTTGTAGTGACACATTTATCTTCAAAAAGGCTGGCGTAAAAACAACAAAGAATGTCTGATAAGCAGGAAAAAATAAGAAAGAATTGTGAAAAAGACTTTTTTTGAATGCGGAAACATATCGATGTGTTGTTTTTAATCTAGTTTTTTTCTTCAGCACAGAGAACCGAGATTTTAATCTACTTTCAAAATTCAAGCCGGTCAAAAAATCACCATCAAAATATAAGTTTGATACTGGATTTTTTCCCCTCTGAAGAGCAGATGTTGAACTTTATTGTAGATTTAATGATAATGCGTGATTTCTTCTGTTTGTGTTGCCATATATGATGGCAAAACATTGTCCCTATGTATATATTGTGATGGTATGTGGATACTCCTTATGACACCGAGTAATCCCATTGGATGTGACGCGTTGATGACAATCACTGTCCCCCTTTCATGTTATTAATTTATTATAAAGAGTGTTCCACACGTTGTGATATTTTTTATGACAATGAGATTTCCATGTCTGTGATATGATACCGATTTCTCAGTTGTTAATATTATTAATTATTACCTACGACCTCAAATACTATCTATAATTAGCCCTCTGCGTAATTGTTGTAAATACTGCTATTAGGATGTGTTTACACACAAAATCACCATTACAGAGATATCACTTACATGATTGTTTAAAGTGAATATGGTTCATACAAGTAATTACCAATATCACGTGTATTTCATGTCATTGATCCTGACCAATCGCCAACATTGTCAGCCGAAACAAACAGTTATATAGTTATGTGGTTATGCTAGCCTACATAAGTCAATGAACGCTATTTCAGTTCGGACTTATTTCAGACACGTGTACGTCAGAGGTAAGTGATTACAACATTAACATTCTTTTTGTTTATTCCACATATCTCAGACTTTCACCTTTGATCGGATTTATTTTACGTAATGGTAGTTTGATAAGATAAAGACAAAACATAGTCGGTAGG